GGAGAGGTGGGGTGGTCGAATGTGGCCGGTAGTGTTAAGTGGATGCTGATGGGCAGGGCTCGCTGAACTGCGGCAAACCCTGCTTGCCAGCCGCGCTGTCCGGCGTTCTGCGCGTGCACAGATTGCCCGAACCCGGCTCTTCCGGGTTACAATCTACTCGCCAGGGGTGAGTAGATTGTATTATTTGTCCCCTGCAGCAGGGGACAGGTAAGCGATTAACTGATAACCCATCAGCAGGGCTCGACAAATAATACCTGATTAGATTAGATTGTATTTAAACAGCATGATTGAGCTAGGTATCCCGCACACTGGCTGGGCTCCCTAGTGAGTGCTGGAGGTTCAGTGCCTGTGGATCTGGATTGAGCCTTCTTACTCTTTAGGAAATGCTGCCGCAGAGCCAGTGAATCTCTCTGCAGCGCCTGGCTGGTGTGAGGTCTGCTTGGCTAGAGTCACTGCAGTGACTGCGCGTGGTTAAGCTTGGAAGGGAGCTGATCTGGGATGGCTTCTCCAGGGCTGTTTTCTGAGACTAGCTGTGGCGGGTGATGGGTACTGTTGTCTATGCTGCAGAACAGCTCAAAGCAAGGCCATGCAGAGACGCAGCGTCTTCCAGTACAGCTGGCCCCTCCGCAGGAGCCACACTGGGGCAATTGCACCACATGGCAAAGCGCACTCCTCTAGGTGTGGGGAAAACGCCCTCATCTGAAATCCTTTTAGCAGCCTGGATCCGCTAATCCTCTGTGGCATGTGACAGGAGACCCAGGAACAAGGCTGCCTTGTCGTGAGGCCCTTATGCTGTCTCTGGTCTGTGTAACTGGCTGGCAGTCAACTCTCTGAAGAGGCTGGGCTGTCATTCTTGAGGCTTTGCTGGACTTTGCTGAGCGAGAAGGGCCGCCTGGTGATGCGACAGCCCATCTGCTAAGTAGCCCATTCTCCTCCTCTTTCCATATCGAGCCATGAGCCAGTGCTGGGCCCTGTATTGATAACCCATGTGTGAGCTCCCTCGCCAGCCGTGTCATTGCAGGGACCAGCAGGACCAGCTGGGGAACGAGGGCTGTCAGGTCCAAAGTCCTCCATCCCATTTCAGCCAGACAAGGGTGTCTGCTCTGAGAGACTCTGGGCCTGCTTTAGGGCTGCTTTGCTGAGCTGATCAGCTCAAACTACTGTAGCGAGGGCTGTCTTCCTCTGGGTGGCGCTGCAGTCACTGAAAGCATGTCAGGGCTGGAACGTGCATTTAGGGCACTCGGAGAATGGCTATTAATAATTAAAGAGTGAGTTCTTCCTGCACAGCCCCCTCTGACAAAATTCAAGGCCACCAGCCTGGTTAGTAGGAGCTTATGAATAATGCGCATCCCCACCAGCTAACTGAATGCAAAAGGGAGATAAAACCAAAATATTTTTCTCTTCTCAGGGCAGGGGGTGGGGGGAGAGAAGAAGACCAAACATGTTCATTCCCCAGACTTCAGTGCCATGTAAATGTAGGGCCCTTAGCATCCCAGCTGCATCGAGCCCCAGCAGAGGCTGGGGGAGCTCTTGGTAGCTGGGTTTGTATCCTGCTGCCTCTGTAAACAGCATCAATATGCTTGTGGCTGCAGTGGGTTTGGTTCTGCTTTCTAGATGGTGCCAGCTGGTCACCTGGAGGGACTCTGGACACAAGAGGCTTGGATTTGGGTAAGTTGCTTAGGGTAATAGCTGTGCCCTGCCCCACAGGGGTACGTGGAAATCCGTATGTTAAAGATTGTGAGGTTCAGCTACTGTGGGAATGAGGGCCAGAGAAGTACCTTGATAGACTCTGTTAGGTGAAGGCTTTGTCAGTGTAACTCTTATCCAGGCCATTGCCAGCCCCATGGCAGGGCAGAAATTTCCCAGCTCTTCTGGCTGTCTGCGCCGCTGCTCCAGCCCACGGGGTATATCTTGAGCACAACCCATGTCCATTAGCTCTCCTGAATCTCACACCACTTGGTTCTCCCACCTGCTCCCTTTCTGTGGAGCGAGGAACGACCCCGTCGCAGGGAGCGTGGGCATAGATCGCTCCTGCGCAAATGAAGCACTTAGCTATGCATGCCCTGTCCACACTGCTTGTAGCAACAGGTGGGGGGGGGCCCAGCTGCAGCCTTCTCTCACTGGTCAGGGTCAGGCTCCCTTGTTTCCCACAGCCTCCTCATGTTCAGCAGTGAGCAGGGCCGTCTTAGGCTAACTCAGTGCAGGTGACAAAGCATGTCCATCGCCTCAGCTTGCCCTCTGTGGGCCTGCTGACTCCTGGGAGGCTTCCTCAGGCATATGGACACTGCCCAACCCGTAACAGGGTGCCTCCAGCTCCTGTAGGAGCATAGCAAGGAACGGATGCTCAGTGTACAGCCATGTGGCTTGCACAGGGCCGTGAATTCCCCCTCCCCCTTCTTTCCCAGCAATTCCCATCTGCTCCGAGAAGCCGTTCTCTGCATCATTCATGCTGCCTGAGCTCAGCTCCTAATTTTGAGCATCTCCCTTCGCACCCAGCCCCCTTCTTGGATTTTGCTCTGCATACATTTGCCACATAGCATTCAAAATAGTGCCCGGCTTCCCACATGTGCCGCAGCGCAGTCTGGCCTTTGAGTTCTATTTATGCTTCTTGACTCTGTCTCTCAGTTCATCTCCAAGCGCTTCTCGCTGCAAGGCTGAACTTTCACACGGACCTAGCAGCTATTGAGAAGAAACTGCTTCCCAGCATTTGTTGGGAGTTAGCAAATTTCCAGAGCCACATCACTGCTTGGAAAGCCAGAGAGAACTGCCAATGGCAGGCGGATGAGTGAAGCGAACAAGTGATGTAAGAATGTAACTGGTTAACTGATAAGTCGGTGCTTATCTGTTCAGTTACCAGTTAAACTCCCATGGGGGGAGGGGGGAGGAGCCCATGGCACTAAGAGCCGGTGGGAGTCTGCAGTACCAGCAGCCCACAAGTTCAGCAGTGCTTAATTGTGTAACCGACTGGAGTGTGATCAGTTACATGGGTAGTATTTGTAATGGGAGTCTAAGCAGAGTAGGTGTCTTCTCTTCTCTCTCCAGATAGTGACAGAAGAGCTGCCCCACTGGGTCAGACCAAAGGTCCATCTAGCCCAGTGTCCTGTCAGCCAGCAGTGACCAGTGCCAGGTGCCCCACAGGGAGGGAACATGACAGGGAATCCAGTGATCCCTCCCCTGTCGCCCATTCCCAGGGGCCAGGGATCCTGCCACTGTCGCCTCCAGACAAGGCACGTCCTCACCGCTGCCTGCAGAGGGGCAGCGCCTGTGTGGATCCTGCTCAGTTTCACAGTGCTCTTGCTGGGCCTGAGCCGCAGCAGCCGGTCTTGGGCGCGATCTCCCCCTGCTCCAAGCAGCAGCGGAGCAAGAGGCTGGCACTGGCTCTGCTCTTGCAGGGAGCACGTACCTCTGGCCTGGCGCCTGCGCGGAATAGAGAGCGTGTGGCGGGCCCCCTTCGCGGCGAGGAGCAGAAGCCCAGGGAAGGAGAGCCTGAGTGACCCGTGCAGGAGAGGCGGGCGCAGTAGGTCACCAGCAGGCAGAACTCGGGGTAAGCTTGCTGCATGGCGAGGGGAAGGGTGCAGAGCACCCTGCTCTGTCTGACGAGTGGAGCAGCAGCCGTCACCCTTGGTCACTGCGGGATCCCCGGGGGCTGGAAAGGCCCCTTTTAGAAAGGAAAGCGCTTAGAGCCAGCAGCAGCAAGGAGCTGCTGGGGGGCGGTTGATGTTCTGGGGGCAGGTGGCAATCAAGTCTGTCAGCTTCTGCTGCCATGGCCAAGTGAAGCTCAGAAATCCAGTCCCTACCCCTGCAGTTTGAAAGGGGTGGGCCATGGGCCCACCCCTTCCTTCTCCTGGCAGGCAGAGAGTATCCAGCCAAACTCTCTGTGCCCCAGTGGGAGACTCACCTGGGCAACCCATGGTTCCGGGCTGGCTCTGACAAGAGCCCGGTGGGAATGGGCTAAGCCTGCGCTGCATCTTGAGAGGTATCTGCCCTGGGGAGAAGAGGGGCAGGGCTGGTGGCAGCCTGTGTGGGTCTGGCAGGGAGAAGTACCTGACTCTCATAGACATAGTGGCAGCGGCAGGGAGAGGCCCTGAGCTGAGACCGGCCGGAGCATCTAATCACCAGTGAGCAGGACTCCTCAGGGGCACAGCCCATGGTGACTCCAGCCCAGCTGTTGCCTCCCTCTGGCAGCAGGGAGCACCAGAAGCCAGTGCGCTCTCTGCAGTAGTGGGACACGTGGCAAAGACTGGAACAAACCAGGCTGTTTGGAGCAGCCGAATCTCTGCACCTGTGACCCAGTTCTCACTCACTCCCTTTTGGAAGCTCCCACGTGGCTGGAAACTTTCCAGCCCCAGAATCAGAGCAGCAGAACGGACTCCCAGCGAGACTCCTGGCCGAAGCTACGGGAACGCTCCTGGCGCCTCGTTGCTTGGGACGGTTTTCCGGCTGCGCCCCAAGCACTTGTAATTCAGTGATGTGTTAATGTCGCTGATCCAGAGCAAGCCAGCTGTGTCAAATCCCTGCTCTCACGGTCCCAGTGGCCTGGCCTTTGCCTCTCTCCTGGGGATGCCTGCAGTGCCACTCCTGGGGCAGGTGAAGTTCACTGCTGTAACTTCTCAGTAACTCGGTGTGTGGGAGCGGCGGTGACCTACAAAATGGCTCGTGTGCTTTCCAATACACGGTCCCTAGCGAGAGGCGTAGTCAAATGGAACTGAAATGTGTTAATGTGCGGAGCTCTCCCAGGAGTGTGCGCTTCTATTCCTGGAGGCATCTGCGTGACATGAGCGGTTTCCAGGGCACAAGGGTTTCAGTCCTGTAGAGTTTCTACGAGGATCTAGCCTGCTTCAGCTCAGGCACAGCCTGGCCTGCCCACGCTGATTGTCACAAGGCACGTGCAGCATCAGCAGCTCTAGAGGGGAGAATTGGTCCTTGTGGAGAAGAATCTGTTTCCATTCCTCCCTGTGCTCTTAACGAAAGGGCAGTGGGCGCCAGTCCTGGGACTAGCTTCCCACCCTGGTGCTCTTGGGGGAGTAGTGCACACGAGCTGGGTGTCCCATGGTGGTGGGGAGGGGAGGGAAATGAAGAGTTTTGCCTTGACTCATTTAGGAGAGGGATTGACTGCAGCTCTTTACCATTAACCCGTTCCAAAGGGGACTGGTGGTAAAAGCAGAGGGCTGCCCAGATGCTGTGTGGCACGTCCGGTTCTTGCTGTGGCATTGCATGGCACAGAAACTTATTTATTTCCCCCTCTGAAGTCCCTTTGGTATTTCAGATTCACCACCAGGATCCAGCTTGGCTCTCAAATACCAGGCCGGTACAGCTACAAACAAGGGGATATTTCAGTGGCTCCAGCTTGACCCGACAAAGTTGGGGGCCGCAGTCAGTACTGCAGGGCAATCTTTGTTTTCTCTTTGTTCAGGGAGCGAGTCCCCTGGCTGAGGCTTCCTCCGACCTAGCCGTGTCCCCCTCTTGTATGGGGGGGTGGGGGGACTGCTGTGCCACTCTAGCCACCTTTCCTATGTCCCCCTGCTCTGTATGTGTGTGGGGGGGGAATAGCTGGAGTGCTCTGTGCTGGTGCATGGACACGTGGTGACACTGTGGTGTGGCCTGGACACTGTGGGCTGTGGCAGAGAATCGGGGAGCCACTGGTTCTGAGCGTCCCGTCCCATCCCTGGGTGCGCACGGAGGAAGAGGTGTCCTGTCTTGTCCGGTGCTCCCCCCGCTCAGCCTGAGCTGGTCAAGCTCCTCTCCTGCTCCCTGCAGGGAAGTAGCCCTTCTCTCCCACAGCCAACTGGGGGAAACTGCAGGGTGCAGCTCAGGGAGCCTGTTTCCAGCTCTCGCCCAACGCTCCTTGCTGCACTCCCCCTGCAAGGTTAGAGCCTCAGGGCCACCACTTGCGCCCAGGCCCCATCTTGGGCACCGCGGCGTCCAGCGTCAGCGGGTGATTTCTGGCCAGTGTTCCGTGAAGCAGGACGCTCCAGATGGGGGTAAGTTTGGCTAGGCCCCTCCGAACAAATGAGGGCCCTGAGTGGAGAGAGGCCCTCTCCTGGGATGGCGAAGTTCTGCTCCTAGTGAAGGGATAAACACTTCTTTCTAAGACAAGATTCTCTGTACGTTCTGCCTTAGCTCTGACTCGGGCCGGCTCTGCAATTTGCAGCCCTTCACAACTGCTGTGAAATAACAGGCGGGGCCCAGTTTCCAAACTGTGCCCCCTGAGAGCCTCACCGGAGTGTCAATCCCCTCGTCCTGGCCAGCCACGAAGGGATTTGGGTGCTCTGTGTAGGAGTCTGGCCTTAAAAATCAGGCCCTGACACAACCCACCTCCACCCTCTCCCAAATCTGTGAAATTTCTGGTGTGGTTTTTTTTTTTTTTTCCCCCTCTTTTTTTTCCTCTTAACAAGCAGAAAATCCCTGGGCTGGAGGCAGAAGGGAGAGTTGTACCTGATTTTAATAAAACATAAGTCTCCTTCTTAAAATATCAATGCTCATCAACATAGAGAAATTCAGTGTGGAAAATCACCCAGCAGAATCCAGACTTGTTAATACAATGTTACAACTTCATCCAGATGAGGACGCCTTGTGCATGGCATGCAGGTCTGAAAAGCCACATGTCCTTGGAGTTGTTGGTTTAAACCCCATCATGAATTGTTTGATCCCTCATCCTTCAAGGTTAC